TTCACCAGTCATAATATGTTGTTATTGATGTTTACTGGACATCGCAATACGCATATGTTGTTATTGATGTCAACTGTATATTGCCATACACATATGTTGCTAATGATATAGACTTAATATCGCCATACGCATGTGTTGTTATTGATGCTTACTAGACATCGCCATACGCATATGTTGTTATTGATGCTTACTAGATATGACCGTTTCCATGTGTTCTTATTGATGATTACTGGATATCGCAATACACATATGTTCTTAATGATATTTACTTAATATCGCCATAAACATGTGTTGTTATTGATGCTTACTTAATATCGCATCACACATAGGTTGTTATTGATGTTTACTTATTTAATGCTGGCTATTCCATCATCCATGACAGTTTGCCTTTCCCAAAGACAGAGAGTGTATTTTATTTGCTGTGCTGGCCACCTTCACCGTGACAGCGTCATCATTCAGTAGGTGTGCCATAGCTATTGACAGGTAATGGCTGTGTGTGGGGAATACCAGCACTGGCTGGGAACTTCAAATCATAGCTGCGTGGTCTGATCAGATATTTTGAGGGCGTGATATTTCATTAGACAATTGTGATTCCTTCGTGGACGACCGGTTACAGCTTATCATGACGTCTTAAGGTTAACTGAACATCTCTACGGCTTTCTCTGAATGTGTATTAAATGCTCGACAGCGGCATGGATATAGACGGAGATATAGACAGAGACATAGACAGACACATAGACAGAGACATAGGCATAGACAGAGATATAGATATAGACGGAGACATAGAAAGGGATACAAACTAAAAAACTAAATGATTAAACAGAGTCTTTAAAAGTATGCTATAGCGCTGTTTCTCAAATGTGGCACCACTAAGCCTAGTGAAGTGTGAACTAAAATCTCTTGTAAGAAGGATTTGATTATATGTTTAAAATATTTGAAGTTTTACCGTAACACTAACAATTAATCGTATTATTTTGACCCAGACCATTGAGACCCGGACCATTAAGACCCAGACTATTAAGCCGAGACTTTTAAGACCCCATACTACGAAGAACCAGACCACTAAGACTCGGACTATTAAGAACCTGCACGTGAGGATAGTTTTCATCAATTCTATGTTTTTTTTAATCATGTTGTATTTCAACCTCCACCAGGTACCATTTTATCATTAACCCACTTCGCTACCAGAGTGTGGTGACAGAGAGATATGTCCTCATTTTCTTGACATCGATCTGGTTGATAGCCGGCATCCTCGGGGCAGTACCATTGATTGAATTCCAATTCCCCGTAAGTCGGCAGACCATCTATTTTCAGATACCCTGTGATTTTCACAACCCGATATGACCTTTTTTCCTCTTCAGATTATACGTTAGTTTCTGCTAGAGCACATAGGTAATTAGAGTTCTGAATAGATACCTTAAATGGAAACTGGTTAAGGCATTGTTTCCTGTTTGAAAAATACATTAAATCAGAATGCTATTACCAATGTATTAAATAGGTCTGACTTTCATACTTGCGTGTGTGACGCCGGCACTTGGGCAGGCATCAATCCCGCCATGCCGAGAAATCTTTACGCGTGGCCAGATTTTCTTAGATCTGATTAAAACGTGCTCGAGGTCATATATATATATATATATATATATATATATATATATATATATATATATATGTGTGTGTATATATGTGTGTGTGTTGTTTGTGTGTGTGTGTGTGCGTGTGTGTGTGTGGGTGTGTGTGTCTGTGTGTTATATATATATATATATATATATATATATATATATATATATATATATATATATATGTCGGTGTGTATATGTGTTTGTGTGTTGTATGTGTCCGTGTATGCGGTTGTGTGTGCCTGTGTGTGTTTCTATGTGCTTTTGTATATGAATTTACGTCAGAGAGGGAGAGAGACCTCACGTTTGTAGCTGCGTCCGTGTGTGTCTGTGTGAGTTTGTGTAAATAACTCATTAGACAAGTATCAATAAAAATTAAAATACAAAGCTAGTTATTATAGTTTTTATAAATTTTTCATTTTTTTAAAAAACCAGAGACATGATGACATGATCTGTTTGCCGTTCCTGGACACGAAGCTGGTCATCCTAACGATGATGGCTGTGATAACTCTCTCAAGCGTCATCATTATCTATGTCTATTTTAAAATCTACTATTGGGCCTCACTGCAGATACAAATTATTAAAAAGGTGAGTATTGTGTGTGAGAAATTCCTTTCCACGGTTTGAGCGTTAAGAGTATTATTTTTGAATTATTTTCAGCTGTATCATGACCTTATTCCATGGGGAAAGCAAAAGACAAACCATCCCGACTCGGATATCTGTCAATACCTTATTTGTTGATGTCCTACCTTTGTATATATGTTTACACCTGGAACATATGTGTTCCAGCCTTGATTATCCGTTAAGACCCGGATGTGTCAGTTGAGGCCCTACTTGTACTTGTTAAAACGTGGGAAGGTTAAGAGATGTCCTACCTTGGATATAGATTAACATCCGCATGACCCACCCTGGACATCCTCACTGATGTCCTACCGATCTGTTAGACCCTCCAGATACGTGTTAACTGATGCCCTACCGTACTGTTTGACCACAGATATGTTGTCCGATGCCCCACCCCCTTTTCAGGCCCGTGGATAGGTTAATGGCAAAGTTTGAGAATCACAGTTGTTGGTGGGGGGGGGGGAACTTGCTGTTCCCGTGAGTTTTGCGCCTGACTGTGATTGGATGAAATGAGAGGCGTAACAAAGAAATTTGTGAGAATCGCGGGAGAGTTAGTGAACTTAATTTCACGTGAGATTCACAGGAGAGTTAGTGAACTTGATTTCACGTGAGAATCGCAGGAGAGTTAGTGAACTTGACTTCACGTGAGAATCGCAGGAGAGTTAGTGAACTTGATTTCAAGAGAGAATCGCAGGAGAGTTAGTGAGCTTGATTTCACGTGAGAATCGCAGAAGAGTTAGTGAACTTGATTTCACGTGAGAATCGCAGGAGAGTTAGTGAACTTGACTTCACGTGAGAATCGCAGGAGAGTTAGTGAACTTGACTTCACGTGAGAATCGCAGGAGAGTTAGTGAACTTGATTTCACGTTAAGTCGATCGCATTCAGTGTAGTTCGGCAATGACTTGCATGAGGTTAGTCTCGTATGTCCATGTAAGAGTTCACGTCACTGTTGGTAGAGTTTGCCATAAGCTCTCGTAAGTGATTTTCCCCAAACCAAGATACCAAATTATTATTATTATTATTATTATTATTATTATTCGTGGCGTGGTCTTATTTAGCGCGAGACATCATGATATTCAAATAAAATACATTTATGAAATAAAGAACAGCGTGCAATCAAGAAACAAAAACAAATGTATATTCACCCACCCCACCACAGAATTTTTACAAAGCAAACCATGGACGGCAGCCAGCAGGATCGTTCATCGGTCAGAGGAGGGGAATCAGTCAGGGTAGTATAGTTTAAAGAGATGTGTTTTTGAGTGCAGTTTTGAAGGCCTGGGTGGTTGGTTTATTGCGGAAGTGTAGTGGAAAAAATTCCATTGTTTAGGGGCGCAGAAAGAGAAAGATCGTTCACCATATGTTTTAGTGCGTGTCGTGGGAATGGACAGAGTACGCGCGTCTGTGGAGGAGCGAAGCTGTCGAAGAGGTGAAAAGACAGAAAGAATTTTAGTTAGAAAGGAAGGGCAGGAATCCGAGAAAAAGTTGTGACAAAAGGGGGACGCTTCTAAACTCAGGTCATGCTTAAAGGCATCCCTGTTTATAGTTCGCGGACTGCGGGCCTCCCTGAACTGAGGCAACAAATCCATTTTCCGGCAATAACAGTGTTGAACACTTAAGGTTTTTTAACTAGTTTATTTTTCTTGTCAAATTTTCATTTGTCCTGACTGCTGGGGAAGGCTCTTAGACGAAATATTCCTCTCTTATTGTCCTGTCTTTCGATTCAAGCTTCCAAATACCTTGTTCTACTATTTCCTTCACACAGCGTGAACGCAGACCTTCAAGTATAATCATTGAATTTAAAATCGGAAGGAAAGCGCCTGCTCATTTGTAGTTAAGACAGGGTGAGAAGAGCATGCTTATTATAAGAGAATATGATGAGGAGAGATCCAAATCATTAAAAGATAAGATTTGGAGGAGAGATCCTAATCATTAAAAGATAAGATTTGGAGAAGAGATCCTAATCATTAAAAGATAAGATGGGGACGAGTGAGCCTAATCATTAAAAGATAAGATGGGTAGACAACAGCCTGCTCATTAGATGAGAAACTCTTCCTTGAATCAAGTCACTACAAGAAAATGCCGTATAGCATGTGAACTATTATGTTTTAAATGGATAGTTAAGTGCCCATTCACAAGTAACCCAACCAAGTGACCACACAAATATATATATAATAAACCGGAAAATATTTACATAATTAAGCACGGCTGCAGTCTTATGCTAACCCAAATCTAACACGTCGTTGTCCTTTTACAGGTACCAAGTCATTTGTATACAAAAGGCAGATTGAAAGCTTGAGTATACAATAGCCCAGAAATGTAACTTATGGAAACCTTTATGTCATTCCTGTTTCTAGTTTATGCTTTTATTGTATTGATGTTGCGGATATTGTTGGTATTTTGTTCTTTTATATCTATAGAAGATTTTGTTCCCATTAAAATAACTGTTATTCCAGGAAGCCATGTTGGCCTTGAGTTTGAGACCTTTGCAATATGAACGCTACGCCAGGAAGGGGCTTGAAGGACCCCGCCCGACAAATCAAGTCTTAGTCCCGCTCGACCCGGACACGATCGACTCTTTCCCGCCGTGTGACTTGAATCGGCTGGTCCACCCGGATTTGAGTTCAGCCTCCCAAATCTTAGGCAATACCTTCAGGGACAGTCTAACCAAGATGTTGGATCAACTCTCTAAGATAAGTAATCTGTCCAGCATGCTTAGCCAAACCCTGTCGCCGTCAAGTGCTGTTGACCCTGACTTTAACATGTCCCCCACGGACTGCCTCGATAAACAGTGTGTCAACAAGTCCGCGTCAGCGCAAAACGTCACTTCACTGCAAAACGCGGATTCGTTCGAGGTGTTCGACTTCTACACGACCACCTCCTCATTCACCAACGCAGATCTGATCGCGAGGTACGGTAGTGCCGTGGATCCCCCAAGTCAAGAGACGTTGTCCTCTTCGTCCGGCGAGAGCAGCACGGAAAGTACGGAGAGCGCGAGTTTTTCATCTCCTGGTATCAAACTTCAGAATCTTCCGTACAGGGATGCGCTGCATCTGACCAAAAAATGGCTTAACCAAGAGTTCGTCCGCTACTCAAAGGCACCCAGCTGCTCCGAGCAGCTCTCTGTTCACAGTGAGAATGTCAGCAGGAAGCAAAACGCGTTCAAACTGCTGAACAAGTCGGAAAGGAAATCGCTGACAGTTGTGTTCATCATCGTCGGGACATTTATGACCTGTTGGCTGCCATACTTGATCTTCGCTACGATGTCACTGTTTCGGCCAGGTAGAATGACCGGCTTGCAAGGTGCAGTAAGTACAATCCAGTTTCTGAGACTAGTGACCGCAAAAATTAGTGAGGTTTATTACTTTAAAAATGACATTAAAATTTGACGACAGGTCTCCACCAAAAATGCCCCTGGTCTATACATAGGTAAGGTATTGAAGGTTTTGGTATAGGTTTATTGGTTGTTGTTTTTAATATTTACCCTAATTTTTTTATGCATTGAAAGCAATGTCTTTTTTTATTGTTAATACGTTTACTTGATAGTAAAATACTTCCAAAATCCCAATCGATTATTGAACTTAACGCTCAGGTGTATTGATTTCATACTTGTTATACTATTGTAAGCTTTACCTTGATGACCCTTGACGACTAATTCTTTTCAATTACTTTCCTGTCCTTTTTTTTTAAAATCCTTCAGATTATAATGCTGATTGGCTACACAAACTCTGTTCTGGACCCTCTGATCTACTCTATAATCAACCAGCCCTTTCGTCGTGCAGTTACAAAATACTGCGGTAAATATTCTCGCACACGTCTAGTAAATTAAAGGTTGATATAAAAGGAAAGAGATCCATAACCGTAACGTGATTAATGATGGAAGGCAGTTGACCAGGATGGGATTCATGATAGAAGGCAGTTAACCAAGATGGGATTCATGATTAAGGGCAGTTGACCAAGATGGGATTCATGATAGAAGCAGTCGACCAAGACGGGATTCATGATGGAAGCAGTCGGCCAAGATGGGATTCATGATGGAAGGCAGTTGACCAAGATGGGATTCATGATGGAAGCAGTTGACCAAGATGGGGTTCATGATGGAAGGCAGTCGACCAAGATGGGATTCATGATGGAAGGCAGTTGACCAAGATGGGATTCATGATGAAAGCAGTTGACCAAGATGGGATTCATGATGGAAGGCAGTCGATTGAGAGAAAGTATTATGCAACTTGCATAATAAATGAATATTAAATTGTTTTGTGTCAGTGGCTACACAGAACGTGGTGGATTAGTGTACAAGCATGGCTAAACACAACTTGATGGATAAGTGTACCAACATGGCTGCAAACCTTGATGGCTCAATTTACAAACATGGCTACGCACCTTGATGGACTAGTCTACAAACATGGCAACTCGCCATGATGTATTAGTCTACAAACATGGCTACCCATGTTAATGGGATTGTCTATACACTTTTATGGGATTTCTCTGCAAACATGGCATTCAGACATTAGTGTACAATATGTCTAAAAATCTTGGTTGATTGGTGTACGTAGATGTCTTTACACAACGTGATTTCTAAGTGTACTCACATAACGTCATTGAACCTGATTGAACGAAATGGCACAAGGCGGATGAACTAAATTTGAAAAAAATAAATAAACCTCTGGCTATTTATTAAGAACAAACCGGGTTAGGGTTAGAGATAGGTTAGGGATAGGGATAGGGTTAGTGGTTAGGATTAGGGTAAATAATAGTGTTAGGGGTAAGGTTAGGGTTATAGGGTGGGTATGGGGTCAGGGTTATGGTCATGGATAGGGGTTAGGGTTAGGGTTAAGGTTAAGGGCTAGGATTAGTGTTAGTATCAAAGTAGCGTCAAATACAGACATCATATCATTTACTTTATTTAACCGCTTACAATGAAATGACACAAGGAGTTTGAAAAAAAATTCAAAGATATCTTAAACCTCTGGTTACGTATTAAGAGCATTAATTAGGATTAGGGTTAGGGTTATGAGATTTCGGCGCCCTAGAACATGGTGAACATCGAAAGATTATTCTTGGGTAGAAAAACAATTCAACATGGACACTGCATCGACGGACAGAACATTGACATGGACAGTTTATAGACAGACAGAACATTGACATGGACACTCCATCGACAAACAGAACATCGACATGGATAGTGTATTGACAGACAGAAAATTGACATGGACAGTGTATTAACAGACAGAACATCAACATGGACACTGCATCGACAGACAGAACATAGATATTAACACTGCATTGACAGAACATCAACATAGACACTGCACTGAAAGACATACCAAAAACTTAGACACTGCATCGACAAACAGAACATCTACGTGGACAGTGTATTGACAGACAGAACATCAACATGGACAATGAATCGACAGACAGAACATTGATATTAACACTGCATTGACAGAACATCAACATAGACATTGCACTGAAAGACATACCAAAAACTTAGACACTGCATCGACAAACAGAACATCAACGTTGACACTGCATCGACAGAAAGAACACCTATATGGACAGTGCATTGACACACATAGCTTTGACATGGACTTGCATCGACAGAACATCAACATGGACACTGCATAGATAGACAGGACATTGACATGGATACTGCATAGACAGATGAACATCGACATGGACACTGCATCGACCGACAGAAGATCAACATAGACACTGCATTTACAGAATGAAAATTGACATTGACAATTTATCGACATACAGAACATCAACATGGACACTGCACTGAAAGACATACCATAAACATGGACACCGCATACATAAACAAAAAATCAACGGTGACAGTTTATAGATTTACAGAACATCAACATGGACACATCATAGACAGACAGAACATCAACATGGACACTTTATCTACAGTATCAGTATCAGAATCAGTATCAGAATCTGTATCAGAATCAGCATCAGAATCAGTTTCAGAATCAGTTTCAGAATTAGTATCCTTCGCACACCAAATTTTTTTTTAAAAATGCTGAAAACCTTTTGAGTCTCATAATAATTTATTTCATTATCTTCTGTAATAACGACAGCAATGGTTACCATGATTCGTATCGCTAAATCTTTAAATGTACATGCCACATGTAAAAACGGCATAACTTAAAACCTGTCCCATTACATTAATGGGTTGCCGGAATTGCCAATAGAACAGGCCAAAATTGACTGTTGAGAGATGTGCTCTTTGACGCATTGGTTGGCTTGGATAAATATGTGAAGAGGCTTACTCAGACAATGTTCATGAATGGCAGCATTTGATGACTAGTAAATGATTCAACTGCAGATGTTCATCCCCTTTTTTTGTTGGACCAGCTAAAGCTCTGTAAGCACCTTACTGTCATGCCACATCTGTTGGGCGTCGCCGTGCATTAAACTTTCAACTTTCTGCGTGGTTTTCTGGAGTGTTCCCAACTCCACCACTTCTCAGTATAGGGCACTCGGCCAGAAAGTGCACTGCTTTCTCTGGCTTTAGACTACAGTGGCGACAGTTCGGTTCCCGAAAAGAATTAAAAATGTTTAAATAGCTTTCGAGTCAGACAGTGTCCTATTCTCTTTTGGGCTATGAGTCTCTGATGACCACATTTTAGTTAACACAGTTTATCCCCCCCCCCTCTATTTCCGGGAAAGCTTTTGAACCGAGACTCTGTTTTCCCAGCCCTTGAACGATTTCTTTCGAAAATGGTATTTTAACCATGACTTGCCCCCCCCCCCAACCCCCCAGTTGGGTATTCGGTCAGATCGGTTGTCACTGGGTGGAGTCTTGCCTCGCTTGGACGTCAACGCGCTCATTCTGTGCCAAGCCATTGTGTCTAGGGATCTACTGAAGGGCCACTCTGCCTCCATCTGACTTTATGACCCGTATTATATCCCATTTGGCATTGTTTTTTTTTTCACGTATAGAGATCTCTTCGGGAAAAAGTTGTTAGTGGGTAAATGCTACGATGGACGGAAATGGGTCTTCATTTAGCTAATCGATGGCGCACTTGCCGTAAGTCTAGCTTCGGTTTCTACATCACGAGTTTGTGTGACGTTGTACTTCCCACTCGACCCGAAAACTTCTCACTTTTGGGTACTGGACGAGTGCGCCGCATCCAGCTTCATTTTCGTACCAGCGACAAGAGTCGTCTATGAAGACGTTGGCCACAACGTCAATTGTATGACTCACTTGTCCTCTACGCTGCCTGTTTTTTAAGCTGCAAGAGGGCTCGACCTTGTAGCCGCCGCATTTGCCAATGTCGGGCTTATATCAGGACTTTCAAAGTGTCCGGGATCAAACGCGGTTTCTCTCAAGTTCTTGGACCACGGGGAGGGTCTTCTAAGCCTTGTCCGCTGTATCAACTGGCCTTGTGGTTGAAAACAGGGTACCGCGTTGTTTGTTTTTTTCCATCCCATGGTTTCATCCAAAACGTGGCGAGAATCGCTTTGTCTTTCCTAATTTTGAGTGGTTCAACATTGGGCGTTATTTCTCCGGGCGTTTGCCCTCTTTTCCACCAGCGCCTTCAGGTTTTTTTTTTTAACTGTACCGTTTGAAGGTTTGATTTCCGTTCATTCTCGGTATGACTCGTCTCGACATTCCGAGAATCTTACCAATGAAACCTTCATAATCCATATTTATATCCTCTGGTATTATGACTTGGACTGCAGCCAGCACTGCTTCGGCACTTCGATTTGGTGTTTGTGCCAGTTTGCCTTATGAAACTGCCCATGCCGTTACATGAAACATGACACTGTGGTGTCTAGCCATATTCTAAGGAGGATGGGTCGGCCTGTGGTTGCTATCTACCACATCTAGAACAACCAACCAGGCAGTGCTTAGACTTGAGGTCCGGTAACTTAGCGCCAGATCTGGCCGGGATCCCGTACTGCGTGCTGTGGGGAGCAGTGTCGTGGATGAGGCTTGTGGGGAAAAACAAGGCGTCCTCCGCGTACCTTCCGGTTGCGGTAGGGTCGGTAAAGCCCCCAGTGGGGTCGTGATTGCGCATTAAAATCACAAATGATCCAAATAAAAGCTACGAACATTATTTTATCCTTT